GCAGAGTAGAGGAAGCCCTCGTTGCAAAGGTCTGCGACGGCCTCCCTGTTCGAGTTGCGGAGATGAAGACGGGCATAGGAGAGGCGAGGGATGCGCCGGAGGAGGTCGGGATCAGCGCTCTGCGAGGATGCCCCGGGGACGACGCCGCGGACACTCACCTGATCTGGTCCAGAGTCGTCCCGGCGAGCTTCCTGTTGATGAGACCGACGTGGACGCCGTCGGGCGACGTGGGTCCCTCTGCCGTGACGAACTCCATGACCTTTTGCTGGAGCGGCGCGAGGTCCTTGTACTGGTCCGAGGCGAATCCGCCTCCCGCGTTGCCGCTGTAGGCGCCCATGTCGTAGCCGCCGCCGACGTCCTTTTTGATGCCGCCCGCACCGACGCCGCCGCCGACACCGCCGCCGTTTGCGGATCCTCTTGTGAGCGAGAGGTGGGCGTAGACGGCGTCGAGCTTGTGGAACATGACCTCGTTGAAGTCTTCAATGATGCGCAGGTGGCCCGCCGAGACCGAGCGGCGGTTCTGGAACGACTTGACGGTCCCGAGCACGCGGACGTACATGTTCTGGCTGCGGGGCGGTGGCAGCAAGAGACGACGTACGCAGCATGAAGGTCAGTGCTGCGCTGCGCAACGCGGCGAGGCACGGCGAGGCAGGCTGGCCCACTCACTCAATCTCGCTGGCCTTCTGGTTGTCGTCGCTGGAGCTGTCGAGCCACTGCCTGACCTCAATCTGGCCGGTGCCGTCCTCCATGGAGTAGGAGACGTTTGTGGCGTTGCGCGAGACGTTGCGGACGACGGCGACAAACGTGAGCTGGCCGAGCTCGGTGCCGTCGAGGGTGAAGTCGGCGTCGGGATGGGGCTGGTCGGCGTTGAGGATCTGGCGGATCGTGACGGGCCGCAGCGTGCTGTTGCCGGCGCGCTTGCCGCTGGGGCTGTCGCCCTGGCTGCCGGCCATGAAGCCTCCGCCGCCCGAGGCGCCACCGCCCGTGGCGTAATTTTGGCCGTAGGGGTTGTCGCCGTAGCCTGGGTGGCGGGCGGGAGGAAGGATGGGTCGTCAGCGGTGCTGGGCGTGGTGCGCCACTGCGGCAGAGTGGGGCAGGCTCACCGTTCATCTTGTGATACGTGTGTGTAGTTATGCTGATCGCCTGCGAAGAGGGTGCTGCAGAGAGGTAGAGGCAGGTGGAAAGTGTTCGGGCTGGTGATGGTCAGAGGGCAAGCTGAGCCGCACTGGCCGCCTTGCCACTCTGGTCGACAATCGCCCCCGCCCGCACTCAACGCGAGTTGCCTGCCGCGCCAGGCCCCCCAGAGGGGGAAAAATGGCGGGCTCAGGCCAGCAGGTCGCAGGCGGAGGCTCGTCTTCTTGGCTCGACGCGATGGCTGTCGGGCGCGCGTCTGCCAGCGAGCCTTGGAAAAAGTCGAATGTGGAGCAGGCGAGGCGCCGTGTTGATCTCCCTCCTCTCTCTCTCCCTCTTGCTCTCCGCCTCTCCGCCTCTCCGCCCGCCCGCCCGTCCGATCGTCGCAGCCACCTTCATCACCACCACCGCCACCGCCTCATCCCGCCGCCGCATCCAACCCGCGCCCCGCCGCCATGCCCGAACAGTTCCCCAGGCTCAACCTGGAAACCCCCAAGGACCTCGACTATGTCCTCCAGCAGATCCGCCGGCACGCCCACCAGCTCGCCAAGCTCGAGTTTGACGACGAATTCCTGCGCAGGAAGCCCTTCAAGCAGGCATGGGACAAGTCTGTCGACGTCGTACGTGTCCGCGCTGCATCCTTGTCGCACTGCACTGCATCAAAGGCTGACCGGATGCGTTTTGGCCTCCTGATCGACGCCTGAACTACTGCACAGTGGACGGCAACGGCCCGCCAGAAGCTAGAGCCCAACCTCTTGTTCAACGGCTACACGCTGCACGAGTACTCCAAGCAGAGCAAAGGTGAGAAGGCGGCTGCTGCAGCCCTGATCTTGCTTCACCCCGCGACAGCGCTGACGCACTCCTTCCTGCCGCCCTCTTTGCCCAACCTCCAGCCACGGAGCCGTTTGACGAGGACCTGTCAAAGGAAGTTCAGACGCTGGCAGAGCAGTCGGATCGGCTGACCGAGGAGGTCATCGGATGCCGCAAGTCCCTCCCAACGAGGAGAGCAGAGGCCATGCAGAGGCGCGCAGAGGTGCTCCGCGCGCTCGAGGAGAAGAAGGAGAAGCAGAGGGCGAGGGCGCAGGACGCCCACCGGCAAAAGGCCGAGAGTGTCGCCCAGACCTTGGAAGGTGAGTTGCGGAAATGTCTCTGCTATCGTACGGGACGCCGAGGGGCAAGGCTGACCCGACGTGTCCTGGGCATCTCCTCGCGCCCTCTGCAGTCGACCTTCCGCGAAAGGACCAAGTCAAGCGGACGCTCGACGAGTCCGTCGACGACATCACCGGACTCCAAGTGGTAAGCCGCGCGCGCCTTGTAGTCCACCTGGCTCGAGGGCATCCTGCTGACCCGTGTCCACCTCTCCGACCCTGACCAACCAGTCGATCCTCGAGCAAGCCACGGCGGCGGCCGAGCAGACCCGGCTCGTCAAGAAACTCCGCTCCATGCCTCCATGAGATCTGCTCGACAGCCTCCGGCCGCATCCGTCCCCTGCCATCCAGGCGGAGCGGTGCCAGGCCTCTTCAATGTATTTGTACCAGCATCGACCGTCGAACCTCGTTATCCTGTTCAGCGACTCGGTCGGTTGTGCCCGTGGTTCATCCGCCGGACTCCTCGTGGTAGACGTAGGTACCCTCTCTACGCTGCACGACGAGCTCGCGCGTGGATGAGAGGCACCGATGAGCACGTCCAGGATGCGACGACGCCGACGAGTCGGTCCTCGGCGGGGATGACGGACGAGCAAGGTCGAGATGCGGCGCGTGCCGTCGCGCTGTTCCACCAACCACGCCCTTTGCCTTCGCCCGGCGGCCCATCTGGATGAGGAGGAAAGGCGCTCGGGATCCTCGTGGGGAGCGCCACTTAAGACTGCCTTCGACGCAGGCAAACGTGCGAATGTGCGAGCCTGTCACGCTATCGAGAGGGCATGGTCGATACGCTCGAGTGGCGTCGCTCCTCAGCCGGGTGGCGGACACCTTCAGAGCGAACGTGCACACGAGCGCGGTACTGCGACCGCTCGCCACCGACGAACGGTGAGCGCTGGAGGAGGCATCATGCTCATGAACGAGTGGCTTGACGGTGGCTCTGTACTCGAGGACGACTCCGAGAATAGGCAGCAGCGTGGGCCCAGCGTGGTAAAAAGCAGGAACCAGGCGTGATACAGAGGTAGAGTTGATGGACAGCTCGCGTGCCTGTCGGCGGTCCGCGCCCAACCGTTCCTCTTCGCCGACCGCCGATTCGCTGTGCGCACCATCGGTCGAGGAGCGCAGGTGCCATGCAGCCACCGAAAGCACATGGACGGGCACAGTGGGGTCTTGCGCCCGTCGAACGGCACGTTGTCGTCGCCCGCAGCCCATCGGCCCGAAGCGCTGGTAAGTGTATGAGGACGAGGTGGTATCGTGACGCCACCAGCTTTCTGTTCAGGCCGACGTGGTGGGTATGGTCCCACGTTCGAGTCAAAGTGCTCGGAGTCGACCGGGAGGAGATGGAGCGGAAGCAGTAGCGAGCATGCGAGGTCGGTCGAGCGAGCGGGCGAAACTGAGCTCGAAAGGGCGGAAGCAGGCGCAGGTAGGCAGACCTTCCCATGAATGCCAAGACTTTTATTCGACGTCCCGACAGGTATACGAGCGTCGAGTGGCGGAGGGAGCGGTCGATGGTGTCCAAGAGGCAAAGGTAGGGTCGACGACGGGATGCAGTGGAGGCCCACGTGCGAGCCAGGCACACGTCGCCCTCTGCTCGCCCCGCCCGAGGGTCGCTGCGCCAAGACTTTTGCCAAGACTTGCTTGTCAAGAAATGCGGGCGCTGGCCAAAAATAGCAGGCTGGGCGCCTGGCCTGCTGGGCCCCGTCGACATGGGCCATCATCCCCGACGACCAATCTGCTCCCCGGGCACTCCTTCTCCCTTGCCTTCGGTAACGTATCACATCGACGCAGGGTATCGCCTGCCAGGTGCTCACGCGTGCGCTCTCGCGTGGTCCAGGTACAGCTACTACTGTAGCAAGGTGCCTCGACACCCCGACCTCGATTGCCGTCTTCCCCGCGTCCCCTCGTCCCATCCTCGCCGCCCCGCGCCTCACCTGTGCTGTGTCCTCCTCTGACTTCTATTCCTGGCCAGACTTACCGCTCGCGCATGGAAAAGGCCACCGGCCAGGAAGCCTTCGGTTCGTGCCCCCGGGACGAGAACGTGCCCATCGGTTCGTCGGGGCGGAACCATAGGCATCTCTCACTTGCCGCAGGCTAGACCCTGGCCCTACCCGAAGCCCTTTTCGGCGCTGTGCGCCATCCAGGGGTCGCCGTCGCGGGCGGCGATTGCCAGCCGACCTTGGTTGATGGCTCTTGCTCGTCCATGCCGCCCGCTCGCAACGGCCTGGCCCCTTCCGATGTCCACGTTCCCCTTGGACATCGACGATTGAGATCCCGACCGACCGATATTGCGACCGGTCGCAATCACGAGCGAGTGAGAAGAGGCCACGCTCGACCGTGCTTGCTCCGTATCTGATTGAGGTGCCACTTTCCTTCTTCGGGCGTCCGACCTTGAGCTCGTGAATGGGCAGGCGTGGAGCCCGTGAATGGCACGACCCCGAGGCGGGCCTGAAGCGGAAAGGTCCCGCCAGTGACTTCTGGCTACGCCCCGGTGGTTCTTGGTCAACGGCCAGGCCGCGCGAGAGACAATATATTTACCCCGCGCGTCGGTCATGGTTCCTCGTCCTTACCCCTCGTCAAGCCACACCTTTCCTCCCCTCGGCCAAGCTCGATCCCAGAGCCTCTGCCTCCATCCTCCGCCAACACTACCTCCGCCACGACCCCGGTCGAGCGCTCCCCGTCGCCCACGATGGCCAACTTCTTCGTCGACCTCTGGACGACCTTCACGCCCAAGCAGCGTGTCAACATTGCCATCTACATCCTGGGCATCATGGCCTATAAGTTCGCCCTCGAGTACTACAACGGCTCCTTTATCACCCAGGCCAACGAGCGTTTCGGCGACAAGCGCTACCAGAAGATTGCCATCCTCACCGGAACCAACTACGCCGCTCAGGCCGTCGGCTCCATCATTGTCGCTCCTTTGGTCAAGCGCTTCCCAACCCGTTCTGTCCTCGCCATCGCCGTCCTCACTTTCGCAGTCATCTCAGCCATCCCCCTCATCGCTGATTCCGCCACGGGAGGAGTACTCAAGTTCAACACGCCCGACAACAAGACCAAGTACGGCACCTGGAACCCCAACGGTCTTTTCCCCATCTACATCATCTCGGGCTTCTCCTACGGTACTGTTGAGCTCATCCGCAGAATCCTTCCGCGCGACGTGGTCGGTGGAGACGTCACCAGACTCAGGAGGATGGATGCTTTGACACATGTGCGTCTTTCCACCATGACCAGCTTTGACCGGGTCACTTTTGGGAACACGGACTGATCGTGGCAAATCATCTCCTACTCTCTTTCTTTCGCCCTCACAGGTCCTGTACGAGGTGGCGGGTACCACCGGAGCCTTCACCTCCACTTCGTTGATCGGCAAGTTCGGCTACAACTACTCGGCTTTCCTCTCGCCGATTCTCTTCTCTCTGGCGGGCCTGGTCTGGTTCTGCATCTCCCCGGACGGCGAGGCCACCGATCGCAAGGAGGCCAAGTCCCGACTCTCGGAGGTTGAGCGACAAGCCGAGACCGAGTCGCTCGGCGCCTCGCTCTGGACGGCCATTCGCTCGTTTGGCAAGGCCTTTTACTACGGCGCATACCTTATCCTCAGCGACCGTCGATTTATCTGGCTCCTGCCCGGATACACCCTCGCCCTCTACGGACACCGATACCTCGAGAACGGTCTCGCTCCCATCTACGCCAAGTCCGTCATCGGCACCTCGTCCTACTCGCAGATCATCGTCGGCGGTTCCAACTTCGGTGAACTCCTCGGCGCGCTATCGGTTCTCATTTTCTCGCGCGTCATTCCGACGCCGATGCCCTTCCTTCGCCTCGACGCCCTCTTCCTCAACCTCGTCTGGGTCATGCCATTCTTCCCCTACACTCGAGGAGCCGTCAGCTCCGCTTGGCGCCTGGCCGCCGTCTTCATCCCGATCTCGTTTGGCTGGGCCGCCGGCGACGTTTCGCTTGCCGCCTACATCCAATCGACCCTCGCTCGCATGGAGTCGAAGGACAAGGATGTCTCGGCCCTCGGAGCCTGCATGAGCACATTGTACGTGACGTACATCGTCCTTTACTCAGTCATCTCAACGCTGCTGGGTCGCTGGGTCGACAGCCGCCTCAAGGGCCTTAAGGGAGCAGCGACGGTCGAGCCGGCACGCGACGCGCTCAAATACGTCGGTGGCGTGCACTTTACCATCCTCTCGGTCATCATCATCGCCTCCACATTCATCCCCAAGGGTTCGTTCAGCTTCAACCCCAAGGTCATCGACGAGAGCCTGCTCAAGATCAGCGACGAAGAGACCGTGTCCGGCGAGTCGCGCGGCGCCGACGACTACGACGACGACCTCAAGAAGCACGCCGAGGAGAAGGGCCTCCACTTCGACCCCAAGCAGGACGACATCTCCAAGGACGGCGTCGGCATCCTCGCCCAGAACCCGGCCGCCGTCGCCGCCAAGCCCAACTAGAGTACATCGTGCGCGCGATTTTCCTGTCCCCTCGCGCCCGCGTCCCCCCGGGCGCGCCGCCTCGCTGCGTCCGCCCGGCCCTCCTTCCTCCCCCGAAAACCTGATGTAACGATCATATACCTCTTGATGACCTCCTCCCCGCCTCGCTCTTCACCTTCGAACGGCCTTACGTTTGTTACCCTGGGCTTTTCTCTTGTAACGACTCGTATCTTCACGGAAAAAACCTTGTTTCCTCGAATTTTTCACGCGCCCCGTCCTGCTGCTATGAGCCTGTTTGAATCAACGAGCCTTTTCGAGCCCGCTCGCTCGTTCGCTCTTGAGTCACTGTTCCGAGCCTGAGCTCGCTGCCTTTTCGAGCCCGCTCGCTCGTTCGCTCTCGAGTCACTGTTCCGAGCCTGAGCTCGCTGCACATGCGCACATGCAATGTCTGCAATAGCGAGCAAGCAAGAGAGGCTGGTGTGGGCCAAGCAAGTGGGATCAGGGTCCAACACAGACGGCTGGTTGCTTGCAAGATGGCTTGCAAGGGCAAGCCAGCAGATGATCCAGCATGCAATTGACAGAGGAAGCAAGCCAACAGAGGATCAGATCAAGAGAGCAAGGCAGCTGGGCAGAAGAGGGGCCAGCTCCAGAGCAACAATGAGGCACTCCTCATTCTGCCACAGCACTTGTCCAACCTTGTCAAATTCCTCAACATGCACCTTGGCATTCTGCTGTGTGACATGTACAAGGTTCACGCAAGTGTTGTTCAGCTTGTTGGCGTCCTTGTGATGGATGAACTTGCCAGGCTGCTTGCCGATCAACCACTGGTGGAGGCTGTGATTGCCACCCTTGTGATGTGGTGCGTATCCTTTCTTGTCGACGTAGATGTTGATCCCGTTGAGCGCCATGTAGTCGTTGGGATTGATGAGAACATGGGCCGTGATCTCCTTGTTGCCATTTTTGTCCCGCTTAATGCGGTAATTGTTGATTGGCGTTATGACCGCGCGGCCCTAGTCGTCAACGAGCATGTTGCGCCAGCAAGCCTCGAGCTCCTTGGCCTGCATCCGCGCAATGTACTCATCGCAGGCCACCCTGGTGGCAGCCTTGTTCTGGTAGTATCTGACGTACTTGTCCTTGACTTTGACCGTCGCCCTCCCGTTTGCGTGTACGTTGATGTTTCCCTGTCCGCTGGCGGCCATGCAAGGCAGGTGGGTTGGCATATCGGCATCCTTGAGCTCATCAGCCAGCCACTTGCCAAAGCACTCGCAAGTCTGCAAGCATGCAACATGAATTGATTTTTGCGAGTGGTGTTCAGCTTGTTGTGGTTGGCATGATGAATCACTCTGCCAGGAGATCTTGCCAAGGGAATGTTGGTGGTGAGTGATGTTTCTCTTGAATTGCTTCAAGCCTGCCATGCTGGACTTGTCCACCCCAACCATGACCCATCAAGCAACATGAAATCCTTCCTGAGTCACTGAGTCCATCACTGTTGTTCCTCTTAGCCAGACCCTCTCCTCCAACAGATGTTGTAGCATTCACCTGTATCTCACACCAATCATGCAGCAACAGTGTCCCTGCACCAGAACCACGAGAAGGACTGCATCAATGGCTCTAGCCCTCGTGCAGCTCTGCATCAATCTGCGCAAACCCTCAAGCTTCTCTTGCACCACCGCATCGAATCAGGCTTGCGGATGATCAGTGACTGATGTCGTGCTTCGGTCAGTCTGATGCTGCAGCAGTGTGTCCCTCGTCATGGGGGGCTGCCTTCAACCTCGCCTCGATCCCTTCTCCTCGATCTACCCAAGTGAACGGCGGATTCATACCACTCGGAGCAGGGCAAACGTGTCCCGCCGTTATGCACACGCGAACGCGATCCTCACTACGTTGGTCGTGCGAGTAGAAGTACACATCTTTGTTCAAGACGAGGGCCTATCTGCGTCGCCAAGTGCAGCTGAAGGACGGATCTCTGAGCTACAAGGGAAACTGGAGTGAACGCAGCGGCATCACCGCTGTGCCGGCGGCGGCGGCGAGGAGATGGTCGTGGTCGTCGACGTCGACGACGATGTCGAGAGGAAGCTGCGGACCATGTCCTCGATCTCGGCCTCGGTGGCGCTGGGCCGCATCCGCTGCGCCATGGCCCTGGCGTTGCGGTAGTCAGACGAGTCGCGGGAGGGTGCTGCGTCGCCGTGGACACTGCCGCTGCCGTTGGCGTTGGGGGCGCCTCCTGCGCTGGCGCTGGCGCTCGAGCGGTCGTGGGACGATGCGCGGTACGACGGCGTGGCGTCGAGCGGATACCGCGATGCCCCGTGCGCCGACGACGGTCTCGCGAGGGTGGCTGGTAGGCCGTTCGGTACGGTGCGGGGCGGAGGGTGGCCGCCGGCCGCCACTCGAGTGGTGCGACATGGGGAGGGGCGCGACGCCG